GCAGATGGACATTGGGCCTCCACTCAAGCACTTACTCATTGCAAGAACACATTGGTCTTTTAAATTGGCATTCCAGGATGCACACCTTCCCGAATCGATTGCTGAAGAAAAATGTGAACATAAGCAAAGGTGGTGAAGAAAGCTGATGGTTCCCGGCTACCATAAGATATAGTGTCCGGGGTCTTAAAGGCTTGAAGCAACTTTTTTTTAAAGTGCATTGTGGACTAAGTGAATGTTTACGCAGCATATCATTAATTTTACATTCAATAATTCATGGACATTTTATTTCATCTCATCAACTTCCGTCCCATCACTTATCCCATTTTCTCCGTTTCCTGTTTCTCCTAGCCCTCAGAACCTTTTCCTTGGGTAAATGGGGGCTTTTTGCTCTTAAATACATTATTTTAATCATACAGGTGAGTTCATTTTCAGACCTCAAGGGAAGGGCCATAGTTTTGGGGGGTCCAACAAATCTCCAGCTGATCTCTCCTAATTGTGAATTCTTCCCCGCTTTTTCTAGGGTTTTCTAATGTGATCTGTTTAGAGCAGTTGCAAGTGAAAAAGTGACACCAGCTAGTTTTTTTTTTTTTCTCCCATCTCAGAGTTACAAAGACTGATATATGTGTGGTCCAATATTGGATTGGCCTAATTGTTTCCGATTTGATTTTCATTATGCTTGTTCCCTCAGGATGGAGAGACATCGTTGGCTGAAACTTAGATGACTTCTCACGAGCATTTAAGCACCCAGTAATTAGTCACACAAGTAGGATGTAGAATATTGTCTTTTTGAACTATATTATGTCAATAGCCTTCTCCCACCCCCATCCCAAGACTGTGGTCCTGATCACCCAGCCCTACCAAATCATTCACTTGAGGAGTTACATTATATCTAAGAGGTAGTCATAATTTTACTTCTGCCCACCTCCCTCTGTCAAATCTGAATATTTGTTGGTATACTCCCACTCTCCTTCTCCACACCTGTTCAGCCCACATATCTACCTCAGCATCGACTTATAGGTCGTCACTGTTATGTATATAACAGCATTTGCCTCTGATGTAAACTCCTACACAATATCTTGCCCTGTCTCCATCAATTGTTATCCACCTCCTTCCTGTGCATTATCTTTCTCCTCACCTTACTTAATACTCAGCTACCAATAACCTATGATTTATGTTCCCTTCTGCCCTTGGTTACTGTATTAGTCTAGGTACTTTAGAGAAACAAATCCACAGCAACTCATGTATAAGAGAGTTTTATGCAAAGAAAGTGTGTATCATGAAAACATCCCAACCCAATGCTGCCCAAGCCCACAAGTCCAACATTAACCCATTAACCCAACACCAGTCCACAAAGTCCTCCACCTCACAAAACAGAGGCAATGATGCCAACTGCAGGAGGAAAGCTGAGTCAGTGAACGAATAAGCATCTCAGCACTAGCAGAGGTCTCCACATGGGTGCTCCAGCACCCAGGGCTGCATCGGGATAGGTCTATGTGGCTTCTCCTTGGGGATGTCTTGTAGGAAGTCAATCTTGCAAGCTGACACAGGGAACTGCTAAGGCAGCTGCACCCTGATGCGACCATCACAAAGCAAGAGACCCGAGAACTAGAAAGGCGAGGCTCACCACCCATTTATTCTCCACCTTTCAATTAGCCCCACATGTGATTACTGGCCAGGTTGGCACAATTAACTAACTCAGTTATCATCAACATTTGCTTGCTTTCGTGTGAATCCTTTTATTGACATTTTGTAATCATTGTTTCCCACAATATTTGTCCTTTTGTGATTGACTAATATCATTCAGTATAATGTCTTCCAGATTCATCGATCTTAGGAGGTGCTTTTCAGATTTATCATCGTTCTTTAACTTTACATAGTATTCTATTGTTGTCTGCACCCAAACTTCTTTATTCTTCCATGGATTGGCATTCCATTTCTCCTCTGATGGGTGTTTAGGTTGTTTCCATCTGTTTGCTTTGGTGAACACTGCTACTATGAACATGGGTGGGTGTGTAGAGTCATGTCCCAGCTCTTATTTCTTTAGCATATATACCAAGTAGGGGGGTTGCTGTTATGTAATTTCTATTCCCAACTTTTTGAAGAAATGCTACACAGCTTTCCACCATGGTTATGTTATTTCACAGTGCCACCAGCAGTGTACAAGTGTTCTAAGCTTTCTGACCAAATCTGTTCTTGTTTTCTGTTTGTTTGTGTGGTAGTTACACAATTCCCTGTCAACTTGATAAGTTAGAATGAAGAGGTGGAATCTAGCCTGTCCATCACGTCACAGCCTGGTGATTCCCTCCTTGTGGGTATGGCCTTCTGATGAGGATATTGGGACTTCCTACCTTCCTTCCTGGAAGCAGGACACATGTCCTCTCCGCTTCACTTTCCTATTGACAAGTCACATGGAGCCATGCTGATGGCAGTCAGAGCCCTGGAGACGCATCCACTGACATTGCATCTACAGTACTTTACACGCACCGACCTGTGATCTTCCTGCGTTTGGCTCATTACATGTGCTGTATGAGTCTGAAGAGGAATCCAGGGGGTAAGATAAGACTTAAGGGTTAATACTCACCTTATGGACTTGATCTAAACTGGGATAGGATATTTTATAGATGCTTAATTACTTCTTGATATAAAATTCTCTCTTACACATATATAAGTGTCTCTAGACTTGTTTAGCTAGTCAACTGGAACTAACACAGTTTGTTTGTAACCTTACTATTAGTTTTCTCATTGCTGTTGTGATTCACATCTCTCAACTGGATAGTAATCCTGAGCATCTCTTCATATGTTTGCTGACTGCCTGAATGTCTCCTTTGGTGAACGGTCCAACATGACACTTTGATAACCAAATAATGTGCTGTTGAAGACGCCAGTTTGATGACTAGGTACATCTGACAGAAGCCAGGGACATTTCTGTTGACTTCTATTCATATGAAAGCTCATTTTCAACCAAACAATTGGCCTATAGTGGGAAGAATAACACTTGTAAAGTAGGAACACCATATGAATTCAAAAGGGCAAAATTTTACCCAAGGGTAAAGTTCAGAATGGCTAGGTATAAAGGAAACATGGAAATACAAAGCACAGAGAGGAATTTTTATAAATGGGAGTTGTAATCAGTACTATGAAATAAAATGTACATGTACCGTTAAAGGAAAACTAATCTCTGTATGTTTCACTCAATTCACAACAGGAAATTTTAAAAATTAAATAAAAGAGCAAGAGAAGGGAAAAACTGAAGTATATGAAATGTGGTGTTGGTGAAGAATGTTGAATAGACAGCCAAGTGTCAAAAGAAGGGGAAAAATAGAGTCAGGGAATTATAGGCTCTCTACCTTAAGCCTATCATGGACATGTCTAAACCATTATTATAAAATAAAGATATAATGAACTCTTGATCTATAAATTCTTGTTTTCTTAAAACACATCTTCTACTTAAGTAGTTGGACTCTGATTTTTCCAATAAAAGTCTTTAGAAAAATTACCTTTGGATTCCAGTTCCATTTTCTTTTTCTTGGCCCATATATTATGGTAGTTCTCAGCCATCATTTCTGCCATCGCCTTAAATGAAGAAGATATTTAGCAGCTGTTTAGTGAGTAGAACAAGGATAGTATTGCTTTCTAAAATGTAAGAGCAAAATATGCTTTTCAGTAATAAAACCATGCAGTATTATTGGTAAACTAATTTTATATCATAAAATAAATTAAAAGCACGGATCTCGTATTTAGAACCTGAAATCCAGAAAATTTTAATAAATTGCCAAATTATACAGCAATAAACAGTACAAGGGAGCCTTGGTGATGCAATGACTAAGTGCTCAGCTGCTAACCAAAAGAAAGGTCTGAAGTTGGAGCCCACACATGACTTAAGGTTCCACTCTCTCCAGTGGAGTCACTATAGTTGGCATCAAATCAAAAATAAGAGGTAAACTTCAAAGTGCTCTTGCATTTGATGGAATTCTCATTGCTATTTTATAATATCTAAAGACATGTTTTTTATTAATTCAGTAATGAAAACAAAAATGGCTATGCATATTTAGCTTACAAGTTATTTATCTTTTTAATTTCCAAAGTTTTAAGAGATGATCTTAACCTAATTAACCACTAAACATAAAGAATATTATCACCACCATCTTTGAGTCAATTTGAACCTCACATCAACCATATACATGTGAGTGACGTTGGATGTCAAACCCCTCTGTGATGTTGTGGATAAGATTACCTCTAAGATTTCTTTCACTTCTGATGTTTGGACTTTTCACAGCAAGATTAGTGGTTCAAAGCAGAGACCTACCAGCTGCTCTGTGGGAGAAAGCCAAGGCTACCTGTGACCCTAAAGATTTACAGTCTCATAAACCCAATATAAAATTGCTATGAGTTGGAATCAACTTGATGTAAATGAGTTTGGTTTGGGGAGTGTGGATGTCATTTTAATGTACTAATACAGGAACAATAATAATACAATGTTTTATGTTTACATCATTATTTCTTTTAGATAACACTAATAATGCCAGTCCTATGATAAAAACACACTATATCAAGGTATTGGTTCCTGGTAACACAATTAAATCTTTCACTCAACCAGTAATTTCATAAGTAGGATCTTTAGGAACAAAGCAGAACAGTTAAGTCCATGGATGGAGCAAGCAAAATACTAGCAGTTTCCCTAAATAAACTGAAATCTATATTGCTTTATGATTAATTGTGGTGATCTTTGAACATCATAAATAAATCATTTAAGTATTTATTTCCTTTTCAAACAAGTTATTTAATAATGTTAGAATTTTAAAGATGAATATTAACTTTAAAAAGAATGTTATTTGCAAGAAAAATTCTATCATCTTTATACAAAGAATTAGAAATACAATCTACAAACTCCATATGATCACCACATTTAAATAATTCATGATTTAAAACATATACAGGAAAGTGCTATACAAGTATGGCATTTTAGAATGAAAATTAGTAACATAAGTTAAAAATTAACATTACTTACATGTAGATCTCTGGAGAGTGTAACATTGCTCATGTCAATGGCCCGGGGGCTATAACCATGGGCAGTATCTATGGAAACCTAGATGATTTAGGTGCAAAAATAACAACTTGTTAAAAAAAAACTGGGGAGAGACTTAAGTAGTACTTTAGGTACTACCTATGAAATAACTAGAAAATGATTAGCAAACATAATGTTTCCTCAGCTAAAACTGGCAAGAATTTACACAAAAAGATTTTACCTTCATGTCAAATTATATTGGTGTGCCTAGCAATGATTTAAACTTGAGCAATGCATGCATGTCCCATATTTATCATAATATTTTGACCAACTGTGCAGTGCATTGAGAATTATGAAATATTACTTTAGACAAAGGCCCATCTTCTCAAATTTCTTGCATCCTGAGGTATCCCAAGTAAATATATTCTACTATATAATAAATATAAAATAATATTTGCTAATATTAATTAGAAGGTTAATATTTTTATGGGTCAAATCTTATGATAATCTATATCTTACACTTGAATTATAAACTGGATGTACAAATAGCATATACAATAGTTTATAAAGACATTTTCAATAACCAAAAGACTTCTTTAATTAAAAGTTTTGGCTTTTGAGAAATGAAATTTATTCTCTAATCATCCCTGCAAGGTTTAATGCTATGTTGGGCTCTCTCATCTCTTTCCACAAAATAGTGCATTTTGCTGTGACTATTATGAAAGTGTACTATGGATGAGTTCTCATTAGTGTTTACAAATTTTAAATTAAAACTTGATATATTTCAAAATTGTATTTTTAAATATGAGTAAAGTAAAATTTAAAAGGGATGATTTCCCCATGCAGTTATTAAAACATAAAAAGGAGGGCAATAAATAAGTACAAAAGTTTAGTATACTCAACTGCTAACTGAAAGATTTGGGGTTTGACTCCACTTGGAGGTGCCTGGTAAGCAAAGCCTGGTGATTATTTCTGAAAAACCAGCTACTTTAAAGCCTTATGTAGCATACTTATTTACACACATGTGACCACCCCAAGTGGGAATCAACTCAACAGCTGCTGTTGGTTTGTTTTTAGTGTTTTGTTTTTTATATGTATGATGTAATGAAAAATGAACTCCAACCACAGCCAACTTACCAGTTACGTTAAGTGACACTTGTTTCCTGTATCTTTATAACTGATTGGTATCCTCTAATAATGGTAACATTTGTCATTCCCCAAGCAAGCTCCTGGTTCTATTTTAAAATGTATTTTTACATTACCTAAGTTTTTTTTTCAAAGGCTTACACAATTTAAAAGAAAATTCTGAATTTCAATTTTAAACAGTAAGTGTAAAGATCGGTAATGTTTTTGTTACCTAGCTGAACATTGATAGGTCAGCAAAAGAGTAGTATACTCCCAAACTGATAAGTTACAGAAAATTCAAAACACTCCATACTCTAACTTGACCCTGGCCAACAGCATTGCTTTTAAGTTAATATCTATTGATTTCCTGTTCTATTCATAATGAAAAAATGTCAATATTTTAACTCTCAAGCTTTCTTATCACCTTCATCTCACCTTTTATTTCAATGAAAAAGTGGAAAAGAACAAGATTAGATGGGCATAAATTTCCTCAAGACTTAAAAATCACCCCAGGAACTCTTCTGTCGATCTCAGCTGTTGTCTAGTTCCATGTCCTGGATAATGAACTAAACTCTATGTACAGTGAAAGACTGCTTGATAGCCTGGGTAACAAACTAAACTCTAGCTATAGTCAGAGACTACTTGGACTCTACAGTATAGGATCAGTGTGCTTGGCTGTTAAATGGGGCTAAGTCTAATGACACAATTTACCTCAAAGGTGAGAATGACATTAGTCAATGTATATTCAACATACAGAAACTGGTCAATGAATGCCTAGTTATTATTATTATTTCTGTATACTACCATTACACCCTATAACTACCATCATCACTATCACCCTTATCCCACCATTCTGTTGCTAGAATCACCCTAGATAAGGGATTAAAATCTCTTTGCTTCCTACCATTTATTTGGATGTGACCTGGGAAATCTGTGATTACTTATCTTTCTCCAGACCACTACTTGTATCCTCAGTTACTACTTTGTCTCTCTTGCTGCTCCCAGGTTTAGCCCCATCCTCCCCAGAGGCAAAGACACCCTGAAAGTCACCTGAAAATTGATAATCACATTATTTCTCCTGATTAAGGGAAAGCGAATCTCTATTCCTTATCATGTTTTCTAAGACCTTGCTCAATTAATCATTTTTTTAGTCACCTGTGATAACTTTGCTTTTGCTTATTACTCAAGCATACATTTAATACCTTAAACACGTAAGCAGCATTTTGTTGTGCATATGGTCACCACGAGCTGCTGCCAATTTGATGACAACTGACGGCAGAATATTATAATATACTCATATTATCTGTCTCCCCTCTTGCTACACTTTAACTGAAAGGTGGTGATTCAAGTGTTATCAAAGCTCCTGAATTTACTGTTTTATTATATTTCCCTTTTGATATGCTATTTCTGAGACAAGATAGACTTAGAATGCATAAGGGACTTACTCAAGGTTACCAAGCTGAAACTCTGTGGAGGCAGGTTCCAACTAGGGCTTCACTTTCTCTCTTCTTGTTCCTTAATTGTGATATTTCCTTTCCCCACAATCTGTCAAAATTGTCATCTCAAATAATACAACATTCCAAGTTTCTAATTGATGTAGTGGTTATGTGTTAGGCTGCTAACCACAACACCAAAGTTTTCAAATAGCAACAACTCTTCGGGAGAAATCTGAGGCTTTGAACTCCTTTAAAGGTCTATTTTACCCTGTCATACAGGGACACTGAGTTGCAATCAACTCCGTGGTAGTGAATTTACAGTGAACCCTCATTTATCGCGGTTAATCGGTTCTAGACCCTACCGTGATAAATGAAATTCCGCGAAGTAGGATTCCTTATTTGTAAATCAAATATTTTCGTAGTTAGAGCATAGAGGACATGAAAAAACACGCTTTAGTCACCATTACACTCGTATTACCCAATTTATTAAACGAAAAAGGGAAAATACAGTAAAACATTTTGGACGTTACAATTATCGTTTATTATTTATTATATTATTTATGGCATCTAGTTTAGAGTCTTACATATTTCACATACAGTATTATTATACATAGTTCTTACAAATACTGTAATCAATAGCCTATGAAATGATTTAAGGGATGTACTCTACAGGTGGGTCGCCGTCTTTTTCCTCTGAAGGAGCGGGTGTAGGCAGTGGGTGCTGTTACGCAAAAACCGCGATAGAGTGAAGCCGCGGAAGTCGAAGTGTGAAGTGGCGAGGGTTCACTGTACTTTTGTTTTTTTCCAGTTACCATCAAACCAGTCCTGCTAAATTTGGTACAACTATTTGTTGCTCTTTGACTGACCTTCTTTGGGAAATGCCCTGAAATCACCCACCTTGCTCACTGCTCACTTCTTTAACCGCTGACCCTATATTTTCACCTCTAGTTCATTTTTCATAAATTGCCTTTGAACATATATGAGAGGGCTTCAAAGATGTCATGGAAAATGGAATTAAAAGATAATGGAATTCCCCCACAATATTTGAAGCCTTTTATCTTGTGCTGTATTCCGTCTCTTTTTAAAATTCTAAATTCTTCCCTAGGTGTTCATATGAATCATAACTATTTTCTGATAAAACAAAAATCGGGAGTGACAAACAAAAACCGGGGAGTGCGGGAAGATGGCCGCCAGATAGGTAGCAGCTCCAAGGCGATCAGTCAGTGGGGAGAGTTGGGGGCAGAGCAGGGTTACCAAATTTGTCTGTTCAATTCCCAAGACCACTCAGAGCATCTCTCCGGCCCAGAGGTGGACTCCCACACATAGCAAGGGCTCCATGCGGACACCCGTGATCTCTGGTGCAGAGCTTCGTGCACCAGCTGCCCGGGCCAGCGCCTTAAGGCAACCAGGTGCACAGCGGAGGCTGCGCCCGCCCTCCTCGGCGCTCATTGCAAAACTGCCAGTCAGGAACCCCCACCCTGCCTCAGGGAACCTGGGGCCCGTGGGTGTGCTCCAACCAGCAAACCCCCCAACCCCGGGCCTCACCCAGGCAGCCCTCGCGGTCCAGAAGGCCAGATAATCCCCCTCCTCCCCAGAGGCTCGCACCCGGCGCCACAGCCAGGTGGAAGGCAGAGACTGAGGACCTGCCTCTGGGTTCCATGCAAACCGCCAATCAAACCTTCTTGCACGCTCAGCGGTCACAGCTCAGAGAAGCCCG